GCCTCCCAAGTAGCTGGGACTACAGGTGCCCGCCACAACGCCCAGCTATTTTTTGGTTGTAGCTGTCATTGTTGTTTGGCGGGCCGAGGCTGGATTCGAACCCACCAACTCAGGTGTATGTGGCTGGCACCTTAGCCACAGGTGCCAAGCCATCACAGAGATTTTTTTACTTATCTATTTTATGTTTTTTTGAGACAGTCTCACTCAATGGCCCTGGGAAGATTGCCATGGTGTCATAGCTCACAGCAACCTCAAACTTCTGGGCTCAAGTGATTCTCTTGCCTCACTCAGCCTCCCAAGTAACTGAGACTATAGGTGCCTGTCACAATGCCTGGCTATTTTTAAAGATGTGGACTCGCTCTTGCTCAGGCTGGTTTCGAACTCTTGAGCTTTGGCAATCTGCCTACCTCAGCTTTCCAAAGTGCTAGGCTTACAGGTGTGAGCCACCGCGCCTGGCTACTTATCTATTTTGATTCCTGTCAGCTCTCCATATTTTGTCCCTGCTGGGTCCCCAGAGCCTGGCACACACCAGGTGCTCAATATGTCTCTGGGAACAGTCAGTTAAATGGGTATCCTTCATGACCTGCTGAAACCCCCAGTGCAGCCCAGCCTGCAGCAGTCCTCCTGCCCTGCCAGCTACCCACCTTGGGGTCATGGATCCCCGAAAGCGCCTCAAAGGTTTTGTCCCCAACCATGACGGCAGCCAGGTTGGCCGTGTAGCTGGACAGCACAAGCAGACAGAAGATGGCCCAGAGGTTCATGAGGAAGCGCCCCGTGGGGCACTTGGGTGTCTTGCTGGAGACAGTGCGTCCAAAAAGGATGGCATAGCAGAGGTTGAGGGCTGAGGAGTAGGAGAACACTGTGCTCCGATTGCGGCCACGAGGAGTGAGGCCGTAGGGGCTGCGCCACTCGTAAAGGGTGAGGAAGAGCGCGGTGAGGTGCAGTGCTGAGAAGACGCCCACCCACATGGACCAGTGCAGCGGCCACATGAAGGCACCAATGGGAGAGGCTGTGTCGCGTGCCCTCACCAAGATGCCCAGGCTGGTGGAAAAGAAGGGGCTGGTAAAATCTACCACCTGTGAGCGGGCTGAATTGATGCTGAAGCTAGTGACTGCCATGTGGGCCCTGCCAGCCAGCAGGTCCCCCACCAGGCCAGTCCAGCGGCCATCCCGCAGGGCACCATACTTGCCATCACCCACGATGTACAGCTCAAAGTCAAAGGGCGTGTCCTCTGCCAGCTGCTCCAGCAGGTCGATGCAGTAGCCATAGCAGCACTTTCGCAGGGAGTGGGGCACAGAACCATTGGCCAGTGCAGCGAACAGTGTGTCCAGGGTAGCTGAGTCATTGGTACGAGGGTCCAGACACAGCTGCCCTGCTGGGCACTGCCCATCCTCATCTGGCTCACGGGCAAACACAAAGGGATGCTCCACCAGTGTCACCACACGTAGCTTGGGAGGGGCCTGAGCACCCTGCAGGGGAGGGGGCCGCACAGCAGCACCCCCAGCTTCCAAGTCCAGCTGCCCGTCTTGCCAGCTGCGCACTGTGGCCCAGGCTGGGGCACCATGTGGGTCCCGGCGCAGGCTCCACACCTTGAAGTGCCGAGATATGAGTACCTGGGAGGTCGTGGTCACCCGCACTGGCCCCGTTTGTCCCTGGAATGATGTGTTGGCCAGGAACCTATTGGGATGGGGGGGGTTCAGGTGGTGAGTAACAGAAGCCCCCAGAGAAGCTCATACCTCTCACCTCTGTTGAGCACACACCTGAATCTCACTCAATATCCTTGTCTGTATCAGGAGACAAGAATGGATACTGCTACTGACCCCCAACCCTACCAGATCCCTTGACCAGCTGGAGCACCTGTCCCCTAGATGCTATGACCTGAAGCCAGTGACCAAGCAGTGGTTGCCTCCAGGGACCTAAGATATCTATCAGCAAAGTGTCATTACTTTGAAATCTTGGAGAAGCAGAACCTAGCATACATCAAGTGCCCAATAATGTTGCCTCTTGTGAGCCATAGCTACCCTTCCCAAGCAGAGTACCTACACACCGTGCCAAGAAGCGCCCAGAGGACTCTGGCCTGGTTGGCTGCAGGCTGCTGCAGTTGACCGTGGTAGGGAGGAGGGCTCGCTCTGGCTGCACCTGGGCTGCTCTGTCCAGTGCCTGGGCTACTAGGTCCACAGCATCATAAATGGCAGCCTCCAGTGGGGGTCGGGCCACCTCACCCAGTGCCAGGAGCCCTAGCGGCAGGCCCTCTGTTGGCAGAGCATCAGCTGGCAATGGTGTGCCCAGCAGCCAGCGGGGCCCAGGGGGCACAGCCTCCAGCACCTGACGGGCATGGGGAGCATCACAGCCGAGAAGGACAGCTACAGAAACCAGGGCTTCGCCTCCCACAGGCAGGCTCAGTGGGGCTAGGTGTGCCTGCAGCTCTGTGTCTCTTGTGTTCAGCCGGCTTAGGTCTAGCACAAGCTGCGGGGCTTGGCCAGCCCGGCTTGTCCAGAGGGCCACCAGGCCACTGGGATCCCGGACACGGCATAGTACCAGGCCAATGTCCTCCCAGGCATGTGCCCGCAGCACAGACACCAGCACATCAAGCAGTGTCTCCAGGGGGCTGGCCCAGTCCAGCTGGAGGTGGAACAGGTTCTGGAAAGGGGAGAATACAGTTAGGTCTGGTGAAAGCTCCACAACACCTGTCCCACCTCCATCAGCAGGGAGATATCAACCTGAAAACTGGGCCTCCCTCCCCTCCCCCAAGTTCCACTCTGCTCTAAGCCTGTCTGATGTGTCATATCACCCACCTGCATGGAGCTCAGCCTCCTCAGTCTTTCAAGGCCTACTTGGTTCTGGCCATGATGGTAGCACTCCACTTTATGGTTTTTTGTGTGTGCCATTCTCCAGACAGAATACTCTTCTCTCTCTATGCCAGCCAACCCCTACACAACCTTCAAAACCCAGCTATATTGCAGATAGAACCCCACTCTATCTTTGAACTATCCCAGCCTTAGGCCCCTCCCTCAGCTTCAGTCCTGATCTCACCCCATCCCACCTGTCTGGGAGCTTCTCTAGGATCCAGAGCCTGAGCTCCATAACGACAACCACAAGGATGCCCTTGTTCTCAGAGCCAATCCAGAGGGCTTCCTCTCAGGACCCCTCCTCACACATTACTGCCCCTGTGCTAGGTAAACCAAGGTTGAGGACCCCTCTGTGTTCAGTGGCATTCAGAAAGTTCTGGATTTTCCCTTAGCAAGATGGAGAAACCACTCTAAGGTGGGTAGGGTGTTGCCCATTGTGGGAACAGGATCCTGAGTGGTGTGGGGCAGGCTGGAAAGTGTAGCCCAGCTTGGACCATACAAATAAGCGGTGGAAGTGGTGCAGTTCCCAGTGGAGGCAGCAGAGGGCGCCACAGGCCTGGGTTTGGGTCCAGCATTGCCCAGGGATCCAAGGCAGAAGGCACTTAAAAGATCAGTCTTGCACAGGAAGAACCTGGTTAAGGAAACCTCCTACCCCAGGTTTGGGGTCTTCCTTCCATGAAAGGAAAGCGTTTGCTTATCCTTTTCCCAGTTCCCTGACAAGATCCCAGGTCCCGAGTTTGGCCCCTCCTTACTGGCCCTGAGAAGGGTGTCTTTCTCTGGGGTGCAATGGGGTTCCCAGAGCCCAACGAACTGCCTTTCTCTCCTCCTTGCCCCGTTTCTTCCCAGACTCTGGACTTGGGATCAAGAAGGAAGAGGGAACTCCCAGGTGGAAGAGGGAGTGAAGGATGGAGCAGGGCTTGGCAAGACTAGAATTGCACTGGGGGGCAGAGAGGAGAGGGGCAGTCAGGAGACTGTGGTTGGGGGAGAGAACTCCACCTTGAAGACCACTGGGAGAGGCAGGGGAGGATGCTGGAGGGGGGAGTCTGAAAGTGCAGACCCTCAAACTGCAAGCCATGGTGCTGGAAGCAGTTCAGCTGGTTTTCCCCGCTCCACACCCAGCTACCACAGATGAGGAGGCACTGGGGCCAGGAAAGGGTCAGCATGCAGAGTAAGGGGTAGGTCCTGGTGCAAAAGAGGTAGTGGTATTGGGTCACCAACACCAAGGCCCCAGGGAGGGGTCTGCTCCAACTGCCATTACACTGCCCCAGTTGGGGAATCCTGTGGGTCTGGGTACCCAGGGTCCAAGGGTGTGCGGTGGTGCTGCCAAGTTCGAGTCAGGGTCCCTGTGCCCTGGAGCTCCAGCCTCTGGGAACCCCATGCTCCTGGGAGACCCAGGTTTTCCTCCTCTGAGTCCCGACCTTGAACCCTGAGAGCATCCTGCGTCCAGGGGTCCAGGTTCAGCGTGACCATCCACTCTCATCCAGAATCCGAGTCCCCCCCCCACCCTCCGTATACTGGCTCCTGGTTATCCCTATGGAATCCCGCATCGCATCAGGACCCTAAGTCCCCGCTGACTTCCGGGCGTACCCCGTCCGCGCACCCCGTACCCCGTACCGGGGAGCCGAGGGGCGCCCGCGCCTCCCGCCGCAGCACGCTGAGAACCGGGGTCTCGGTGGCGGCGGCCAAGAAGTGCAATTGCAGCAGCTCGGGCCGGGCTTCGGGAAAGGCGAGCAAGGCCGCCACGCCCGGCGGCGCCAGCGCCTGGCACAGGCTGTGGGTAAGTGAGGCTGGGTCGCGGGCAGGGGTCTTCATGGCCACCAGCTCCAAGCTCAGGTTGTGAGGCAGCCTCGGCGCCAGGATGGCCCGGGTCAGGGCGGTGAGGGCGCGGGCGCGGGCGCCAGGCGCGCGGGGCAGGAGGGCGCCCAGGCGCACTGAGCCCCCCAGGCGCTCCAGGACGCCGCATGGCTGCGGGTGGCCCCCAACGGGCCCGGGTCCCAGCCCCAGCACCAGGCCGAGCCACAGCACCCGCACAAACTCCATCGCAAAGTTAGGGAGTCGCTCGCGGCGGGGCGGAGCTTCCCAGTGCCACTGCGGGGAGGGAACTGCGGACCGGTCCAGTCGCTACGCTATCTCCTCCACCCTGTGGAGCAGCGTACCCCCTCTACCAGGCCGCCAACTTCCGCCCTCCTTCACCGCCTCGGTGTCTCTGAGCGCCAGCTACCCACTAGGGGCGAGTTTGACTCACTGCCTTGAGTGGGAAACAGGTTCAGAGGGCTCGTTTCCTGATGGCCACATTGGCAGAGGGTGGTGCCCCCTACCCACTGTCCATCCCTGTTCTAAGCCAGGCTACTGATGAAATGGAGGCTGGGCACCAGAAAGCGACTTTTTACTTCAAAATTGGACTCCAGGTCTGGGTGCGGTGGCTTATGCCTGTAATCCTAGCACTCTGGGAGACTGAGGTGGGCAGATCTCTTGAGCTCATGAGTTTCAGACCAGCCTGAGCAAGAGCAAGACCCTGCCTCTACTAAAAACAGAAAAACTGGCTCCACGCCTGTAGCACAGTGGTTGTGGCGCCAGCCACATGCAACAAGGGTGGCAGGTTCAAATCGAGGCCAGGCCAACTAAACAACTGCAACACAACACAAAATAGCTGGGCGTCGTGGCGGGCGGCTGTAGTCCCAGGTACTTTGGAGGCTGAGGCAAGAGAATCGCTTAAGCCCAAGAGTTTGAGGTTGCTGTGAGCTGTGACGCCACAGCATTCTACCCAGACTGACAGCTTGAGACTCTGTCTCAAAAAATTAAAAAATTAAAAAAAAATAAAAATAGAAAAACTAGCCAGGTGGTACATGCCTGTAGTCCCAGCTAATTGGGAGGCTGAGGCAGTAGGATCTCTTGAGCTCAGGAGTTTGAGGTTGCCATGAGCTAGGCTGAGGCCATGGCACTCTAGCCCTGGCAACAAAGTGAAACTCTGTCTCAAAAATGAAATAAAATAAAATAGACATCCAGGATACCTGACCTCTACCTACCCCCTGATAGGGATTTTGAGACCCAAGAGAGGTCAGGTTAGTCTCTCACTTCCAGGTAGCAGCCTCTAAGCAGGCCAACTTATGGTTGTGCTCTACCATCAGGTGCACCCTGGGGAAACTGAAGCAGGCATGTTTGATGAGATCTCCTATCTTCCAGCCCTTGGCAGGCAACTTAGACCAGAAAACTCCTCTTAAACCTTCAAAACTCAGTGCCAGGCTCGGCGCCTGTGGCTCAAGTGGCTAAGGCGCCAGCCACGTACACCCAAGGTGGCGGGTTCGAATCTAGCCCGGGCCGCCAAACAACGACGGCTGCAACCAAAAAAAATAGCCGGGCGTTGTGGCGGGCGCCTGTGGTCCCAGCTACTTGGGAGGCAGAGGCAGGAGACTCGCTTGAGCCCAGGAGTTGGAGGTTGCTGTGAGCTGAGATGCCACCGCACTCTACCCAGGGGGACAGCTTGAGGCTCCTGTCTCAAAAAAAAAACAAAAACAAAAACAAAACAAAACTCAGTGCCAAATGCCCTGCTCTGGAAAATCCAGGAAGATGAAGATCCCTTCCCTTCTTCCTCATTTAAGCACCCTCTACTGACATTCTCTCCATCACAGCTTTTTGTTTCCCTTCTTTTTTTTTTTTTTTGAGACAGAGCCTCAAGCTATTGCCCTGGGTAGAGTTTTGTGGCATCACAGCTCACAGCAACTTCAAACCTTTGGGCTTAAGTGATTCTCTTGCCTCAGCCTCCCAAATAGCTGGGACTACAGATGCACGCCACAATGCCCAACTATTTTTTGGTTGTAGTTGCCATTGTTTGGCAGGCCTGGGTCGGATTCGAACCTGCCAGCTCTGGTGTATGTGGCTGGCACCTTAGCCGCTTGACCTACAGGTACCACCCTGTTTCCCTTCTTTTAATGACCATCTCCCGGATACAGCCAAGGGTGGGAGGCAAGGGTGAGTCTGGCTTGTCTGCTGCTGTCTCCAGGACTTGCACTCTATTTGCTTGTTGCTTGAGCAACTGCCCCAATAAGGATGCTTGGTTACATTGCCCTCCTCCATTGCTCCAGAGTCTTCTGTAGCTCCCCGCCGTCTACTGATACTCAAGCCATCCCCTGTGTTCTCTGACCTGGGTCTTTCTGTGGCCCTGGCATCTGGCAAATGCTTAATAAATACTGGTCAAAGTCAGGGAGTGAAGGACTTCCTCCCTGCCCAGGCAGCACCCAAATCCTCCCATGAGGTTAGGGGGGAGGAAGTGTTGGGTATCTCCCAAGATCCCTCCTGGCAGTGGCACAGCCAGAACATTCAGCTCTGATGAATGGGTGTAACTTGGGTTTTTTTTTCTCCCTCTCTCTTTTTCTCACACACACACCCACCCCTTGTCTCCTTTTGAAGCCAGTATTAAAGAGGAAAGAAAAAACTCCATTAAATAGATAACATAAGCCAGAAAAATGGATTGAATTTTGAGACAACTCAGGAGGGTGGGTGGCTCAGTTCCAGGAACTGAGCAGTCGCCTACTCAGCCACCTGGCCAGGTGTCCTAGGAGCCAGGGGAGTCCCCCAGGGTCCCGGCTTTTGGGGCCCACTGGTTCTTTGTGAGGTGCCAGGTTTAACCCCTCCCTGGGGTCAGTTCCTTTGTACAGAGCAAGAGTCTGCAGAAATCCGACTGGTTCTGGGCTGGTGACACTAACAGTTGATGCTCAGTCACGAACACTGCTGTGTGTTCATTAGAAGAGGTGGCCCAGCCACCTGCACTCATCCTCCTGCTCTGTGCCTCAGTTTCCCCATTCATACAAGGGTAACAGCTGCCATATTGACTGAACATATGAACACAGGCTTTTTAAAAAACATCTTTTCTTTAAGGCAGTGCCTGTGGCTCAAGGAGTAGGGTGCCGGCCCCATATACCGGAGGTGGCGGGTTCAGACCTGGCCAGAGCCAAAAACTATTTAAAAAATAAATAAAAGTAAAAACATCTTTTTAGGGTGGCACCTGTGGCTCAGTGGGTAGGGCACCAGTCCCATATAGCAAGAGTGGTGGATTCGAACCTGACTCCAGCCAAACTGCAACAAAAAATAGCTAGGTGTTGTGGCAGGCGCCTGTAGTCTCAGCTACTCCGGAGACTGAGGCAGGAGAATTGCCTAAGCCCAGAAGTTGGAGGTTGCTGTGAGCTG